AAAAAACCCCAAGAGCCCCTGGGTAAAGATTAAACATGTTTTTTCGATAATGAGTCCTCGGTGCTCTAACTGTGACAGCACAGACTCTGAATACCCACGAGGAGCCTACACTACGCACCCTCTGTCCCACTTATTCGGCAGTGGGAACCTGTTAACGACTATTTCAGTATCTCCAAACCCCATCTGGGAATCACAACTAAAGCCTAGCGTTCCACTCTATCTTACAATTCACAGATTCCTCAGAGACTTTGACCCCGGATGGCCTTCTAAGCCCTACCACCTTCTAGAACAATGGTTCTTAATCTATCTTTGTCAAAGACCCCTTAAGGAAGTCAATGTCTTCTCTCCAGAAAAATGCACATGCATCAAAACATGAGCATGTGATCTCCTAGTTTACAGACTCCACAAAGACCACTCACAAACCCCCTGGTGAAAACTGTCAACAAGGGGATTTCATTTACATCCTGTCTTAAGAAGTTGTGAAGAAAATACAGACTTTGAATGGGACAGTTTAACTTACGGTAATGGATCAGATACAGAGGTAAACTTGCATGGCATCTGTTAACAGAGGGGGCAGAAAAGCTAAGAAAGCATACTCTGAGATATAATTATTATTACTAACAGCTACAGGGTCCCCTTTCCCCTCCCCAAAAAAACCCAAGGTAGCTCACAATATTCATCCTAATGAACCTTTAAAGCCATCAATCCACTGCCGACTCAAAGTTCTCCTTCCAGCTAGGCAGGTCCTACATCCTCAGATCTATTTCTAATAAAATACATTTGGCCTCTGTAACACTTCAAATTAAAAGTCTGTCTCTCGGTCTCTATAAAGCTCTAAATTCCCAGTTGAGGGAGGTATATCGAATTATAATGTTCTTTTTACTCTAAGCCTTTCTTCTTACTTACTTTAGTATAAGCTTATTATGCAAAGCACTTTGGAAAAAGGAGAAAATTATGACACCACAGGTTAAAAATCCTTAAGGCATTATGACAGGCCACAGTAAGACAAAAAAACAAACAAAAATATACTGACAAATTCCAAATTATTTATTTTAAAAATAGAATTATGAGAAATAAAATATATGTTGGGATTATTAGCCACGTAAGTGGCTTTAAACCTTCATGTTAAATAAAAAGAGAATAAGTGCCCCGAGACTTACGTTTTGCCTCCGAGAGATTCTGGTTAGGGGACCAGACCAGCATGCCAAGATTTTCTCTTTCTTGACTGCGCCTTGCCAGTTTAGCTTGGTAGAAACAAAACAGAAAATCTTATGTAATTATTATGATTCAACAACTCTAACAAGCAATGAGTAACAATACTGCCTGGTATTTAAGCCTCAGAACATGGTGACGTCATCCACCTTTTCCCTAAACTTGCTTTAACTGAACCTGTGCACCTAGCATCAAAGGGCGAGGATGGAGAGGCGCCTGAATCAGCTCAAACAATCCACTGACAAGTCCTTTTCTGTTCTACTTTGACCTAAAAGCAGGTGCTCCATGGAGTTACTGTCAGGTGCTGTAGAGTCAGCGCCGACTCACAACGACCCCACACACAGAGCCAAACACTGCCAGGTCAGGTGCCATCCTCACAATCATTGCTAGGGTTGAGCCCACTACTGCAGGCACTGTCGATCCATCTCATTGAGGGTCTTCCCCCTTGCCACTGATCCAGTCCTTTACCAAGCATGATGTCCTTATCCTGGGACTGGTCCCTTCTGATAACATGCCCTAAGTACGTGAGACAAAGTCTCACCATCCTCCCTTCTAAAGCACGTTCACACTGCTTCCAACATAGATCTGGTCATTCTTTTGGCAGTCCACGGTATATTCAATGTTCTTCACCAATACTGTAATTCAATAGCATTAATTCTTCTGTCTTCCTTATTCACTGTTCAGCTTTCAAATGCATACGAGGCAATTAAGAACACCATGGTTTGGGTCAGGTGTGCCTTTGTCCTCAAAGTGACATTTTTGCCCAATTACTGATGGATATTTGCAGCTGTTTCTTCTCTTTTGATTTGGGCCACATCAGTAAATGAAGGCCCAGAAAGCTTTACTCCATACACATCATTAAGGTCAACTCTACTCTGAGGAGGTAGCTCTTCCCCAGTTGTCCTTTGAGTGCCTTCCATCTTCTGGCAGTAGATCAGACAACATTCCGCTACTATTCCTAAAGGTTTTATTGCTCATTTTCTTTCATAAGGAGATCACCAAGTCCTTCTTCCTCCCAGTCTGTCTCAGTCTACAAGCTCTGACAAAAGCTGTCCACTATGGGTGACCCTGCTGGTATCTGAACTACTATTGCACAGCTTCCAGAATCACGCAACAGGCAAGCACCATCGTTAAGACAAACTGACAGATGAGTCAGTAAAATACACTAACTGTGGAGGACGTATAGTTACTATTCCCATTTGACAGGGAAGGAAGCTAAGGTCATTCGGCTAGTGTGCAGCAGAGCCAGGATGGAACTCAGGCTGACGGGCCCCAGTACCCAAGAGCTTAAGTGCTATACTTTGCAGCCTCTGCTTTCAGACACTGATCATCCAACAGGAAGCCACATGTGGCACAGTGTTCAAATACTCTTTTAAAATCTGAATTCAACACTTTTCATCTTGTGTGATTCCTCGTGTTCACACTGGGCATTTCCTCCCAGCTGTTCATCATTTCTCTTTGTAGTCATAGCCCCAAGAATTCGGTGTGTACTTTGATCACCCTCAGCCTTCTCTGCCATTAATGACTTAACAATAGGAACCTAAAGACCCTTTAACCACTTAATTTTCAAAAGGAAATACATTCAAATTATTTTAAAATATCTGTGGTGGGAACCAGTAGGCCAAAAGGTGTACAAATGTCAAGTGTTGAGTTGACATGCATAAAGAGATTAACTGTAAGCAAGTCATACACTACAACCAAGATATTTAAACCTTTACTTTCAAAAAGTACAAAAGATTCAAGAGAAAAAGGGCTCAATTAGCCATGCCTTTACTCTGGTTAGGCCCAAACTCAGCCATTCTAAAGGTATTTTTAATCTTTTTCCTTTTCAATAAACTCCTCTGAAAACGTGAAAATTATGCAACAGGAATTAGGCAAGATTAAAAGATGAATTTGGGATGGGCGGAAACAGGCAGAATACCAAGGAAGGGGCAGAGGTGGCCTTTTTGAGTGTACCCTTTTTATGTAGTTAATAGTGACAATGTTAATGTTATACACAATCCTATTATTTTTAAAGATCAACAAGGATGCGGGGCAGGGAGGCCAAAAGAAAATAAAAAAACAAATGTTTGTTGTTCTTGTTATGTGCCGTCGAGTCAGACCCGACTCATAGCAACCCCTCCTTGGGTTTCCAAGGTGGTATCACTACGGAAGTAGATTGCCCAACCTTCCTTCCGAGGAGTGGCTGGTGGGTCTGAACCGCCAGACTTCTGGTTAGCAGTCAAGTAGGCACTACGCTATATTCCCAAAACAAAAAAGTCAAGAAAGGAATAACAAGCATCCACATTAGAAAGGTAGAATTAAAACTTTTTATTCACAGACCACATAATCATCTGTGTAGAAAACTTGATTGTACAAACATCTGAAAATAATGAATTTTAAAAGGTTGCCAGAAACAATGTCAATATTTTTAAAAATGTGTGTTTCTATGTGCTAGCAATTAACAATCAGAAATCAAAATTGAAAAATACCACAAACAGACATGAAAACTTTAGGGATAGGTCTGACAAAAGATGTGTAAAACCTGTAACTGAAATCTATAAAAACACTGCTGAAACCCTAACGATATAAGTCAACAGAGGCATTATAGCATACATATATGGGTGTAGATATCAAGACTAAGTATCATTAACACTGCAATTCTCCTCAAACTGTTCTCCAGATTCAACACAATCTCAATGAAAACCCCAGTGCACATCACATAAACTGATGAACTGATTCCAAATTTCATATGGAAACAGGGAGTCACTAAAATAGCCAAAAACAACTGTGAGAAAGAATAGGACTTTCATTCTCTGATTCAAGACTAATTACAAAGGTTTAATAATCAAGACTGTGTTACTAGCATAAAGAAAGAGAAACTGATATATGGAATAGAAGAGAATTCAAAGATAGAACCATACATATATGATCAACCCATTTTTCACAAAGGTGCAAAGGTAAAGTCCAATGAGGAAAAATAGTATGTTCAACAAATGATGCTGAAACAAATGTAAAAAATCTATTAACTTGGATCCAGACCTTGTACAATATACAAAAATTTACTCAGAATGGGTCTAAATGTAAAACCAAAAATTATAAAACTTCTAGAAAAAGAGAAAAACCTTGGTTTAGAAAAGGAGATTTTAGATGCGACCACGAAAACACAATCCAGGAGAGAAAAATTTCTTAAGTCAGACTCCATCCTGAGAAAGAACTTGTGATCTTTTAAAGACATGACTGAGAAACAAAGAGTGAAGCCAGAGGGATGGAGAGACAATCATCACAAATCACACATTTGATAAAGATTTGTATCTGAAATATACAAAGAATTCTCAAAACTGAACAGTAAGGAAATCTGCTTTAAAAAAAAAGAGCAAACAATTTCAACAGATACTTCACCAAAGAATAAGCACATGAAAAGATGCTCAAAACCATTAGTCACTAGGGAAAAGCAAATTGAAACAAAAATGACCTACCACACCTATTACGAAACATAAAATTAAACAAAGACAATACCAAGTGACAGGAGAATGCAGGGACCTGGAACCTCCATGCACCGCTGGTGGCAATGCACAATGGTACTCATACCTGGCAGTTTCCTAAAACAGTAGTATAATGAAACCTGTGAGAGATGGAACTTTGTTTTTCTGGATTTTGAAAGTTTTCCACCTTTGAGAGGGCCCAGTCTCACCACTTTTCTATCTTTTGTGTTAGTGGAAAATATTTGAGTTTTCCTTCTCTGACAGGTTTCCACCTTACAGAGGTTTCAGTTTATGCAGGTTTTACTGTGTGTCCATTCAATGGAATGTTACGCAGCAATAAAAAGGAATGGACCACACAACAGCATCAATGTATCTCAAAGTAATTGTGCTGAGTGACAAGTTAGATATGGAAAGTCGAAGACTATCTGAATTCCGTGGTGCTGGACTGCAATGAATGGTATCAGCAGGAACTCATGGTTTTCAACATAAAAGACAATAAAAATATGCAGGCAGTCCCTGGATTATGAACAAGTTCCATCTCTAAATTTGTCTTTACAAGTTCCATCTCTAAATCTGTCTTTAAGTCGAGTTTGTACTTAAGTTGGAACAGTGCTTTGTAGCTAACATTAATCAATTGGCTGTCTTAGTAAACGGTATATAGTGTACTTTTGTATGCATAGAAAACATTAAAGAAACACTTCCAGATACACTGAAACATCATTAACTTAAATAATACAGTAATAATGTTTTGATATACCTTGCAAAGTAACGCCAACCTGCTATGAAGAAACACTCTATGTACCTCAAAATTTTAACATAATAGGCTTTATGGAGATTGCATAAATCAGACCATTAGTAACATGAGGACTGTCTATAGATGTGTGCACACATACACACAAGCCCATGGATGGCAAAAGGTTGGCAGTTCAAATTCACCAGTGGAAAAAAGGCCTGGGTGAGAAGAATACAGCCTGTGATAACCCTATGGAGCGGCAGCTGTATTCTGAAATACTGCAGGGTTGGGGTCGCCACCAATAAAAAATCGACTTGAAGGCAAAGGTTTTTTTTTTTTTTTTTTTAATACGTATATATATGCAGGTATCTATTCCCCAGCTCTATGCAAGAAGCTCCTACGGTCCAGCTTCTCAAATTATTTGTTCTGCTTACAGATTGAATAAGGGAAAGGATTTATGGTATTTGCTAAATCTGGATGGTAGTCATGCAAATACTATTTTCTGTATCTTTTATAATTGGACAATTTCAAAACATTTAAAAAAAAAAAAACATAACTGGAATGGAAGGCTTTCACTGTGTGATATGCTGTAACTGAATACTACGTGTTCCAAATTAAAATCATCTTGGCCCACACTGAGGGAAATCTTCTCCTAGCCTATTTTCTGTTCTGCCCTGAAGCTCTGAATTAGTTATTTCTCAGTCTGTAATGCCATACTAGACTTGTCAACTGTTTAGGAGCAGAACTGCAATCTTCTTCTTTTTTTTTAAATAAAATTAAAAAAAAAAAATACATAATTCACATATCATACAATTCACCCTTTAAAGTACACAAT